AAACGCTAAACACCATCATGGTAACACACATGATACTGAAATAATGCAATAAACATTAATTTAACAACATTAGATGTAAGATAAAACACTAATGTACACAACTGATAAGGAAAAACTAAGAAGAAACAGTTATTTCAACGAAAAAACATAAAATATGAAGTGTCATGCAGGGAATTCTGTGAGTGTCAATTTATAGTTTTTCACTGTAAATTATATAATGGCTTTTTCTTTTTCACTTCCAAAAACCATAATTTTAACAGTATTTTACTGTAAAATTACATTTAATGTAATTACAGTTATTCACCGTATATAATATGGAAACTTACTGATAACCAATTAGCAGGTTTTTACTGTAGCATTTTTACAGCTTTTTACTGTTAAAATCACAATAATTTTTTACAGTGTATTTATACAGAAATTACAACTGTATGCTTTGTTACTAGGGACTGAGGTGGGTCAGAGTAGGTATAATTAATGGGATAGTTCACCCAAAAATAAACATTCTGCCACCCTCATGTTGTTCCAAAGCCGTAAGACCTTTGTTGATCTTCAAAACACTAATTAAGCTATTTTTGATGAAATCGACGAGCTTTCTGACCCTGCATAGACAGCAACGGAACTACCACGTTTCAAGGACATCATTAAAATAGTCCATGTGACATCAGTGGTTCAACCGTAATGTTATGAAGCTACGAGAATACTTTTTGTGCGCAAAGAAAACAAAAATAACGACTTTATTCAGCAATTCTTCTCTTTTCTGTCCCTTTAAGACTGGCTTTGATGTGGCATTGCGTCTTTACACTGAATTTTGAGCCGGCACAGAGCAGCCTTAACTTAGCTGTGTAAAGATGCCTATATTGTTTTCATCTCAAATACTTGAAAGTAGGGCTGCACGATAAATCGCATGCGATATTTAACGTGCATCGTCAGAAAAGCCGGTTCTGTAATCAGCAGTAAATCTCCATCATGTGCGTGCTTTCACATTGAGCAGCATTAACTACACAGAGCCGTTGTTCACTGACGAGCTGCGCAAAACCACGTTCATATTTGATACGATACGATACCCAGTTTTTCCTCTGTAACTATTTACAAAGCAAGTGTATGATGCCTAGTGTTTTAAAATCTGTTCACATTCCAGTCCTAAACTGCATAGAATGGCCTTACACCTAATCTGAAAGGTCGAGGGACAGGTATATCTCAAGCTGAAAAGAGCCCGTCAACAGGGCGATCCAAATTGGTTAACCACTATTTGTGGTCTGTGACATTTTGTACAGCCTTCCTACAGGTTATGGCAAAAGAACTGCAAGTTTCAAAGAACTGTATCCTTTCTTTCACGCTGAATTCGAAAACCATAAACTGTTTCTCGTACTTTTTACTCTTGACAACTAAATCTATCACTCGTGAATCACTATGCTTTGTAGTACATCTGCATCTAGAAAAATGATTTTGGTGACTGAATTCAGACTCTCTTCACAGTCCAGCTACCCACCCGTAGTCACTGTGAGCCGCACGGTATATGCTGAGAGAATGATGTCACTGAATGAGCAATGTCTGGTCCGCCCCCCTCCACGGCATTCTGTCTTTGATCCACAGAGTCTAAATGTGTGAATTAGCACCCCGTCAGAGGCAGCGCTCCGTCTCCGGGCCTCATGCGTAGTGTCAGTCCAGCTGGACAAATCCTCTATCCGATTATTGTGCAATCAAGCTTCTGGCTAAAATCCCAAAGCATCTCTGATGGAGATTAACTTTAGCTACTCTCATACCTCACCAACCTGTCAGAGGGCCTAAAATTCACCCCTCCAAACACTGATTGTATAGAATGGATAATATTTTCATGCTTGTGATTGCCCTAATCTCTCATCCCAAGTATGTCGCAGAGTAACCCGAATGGTGTGTCGATCGGTCACCAGATGTGCCCTGGAAAGACACAGATTGTTTGCGCCCTCACGCTCGGTGCTAAACCTGAGTTGATTTACACAGATAATCCTGTGGTGGCTGCTGTCTCATGCGCGGAGAAAAACTACACTGAATAACAGCTGTATGGGCAAATTTACACATCGACCCGGGCTTTGTTGACTCTCTGAGCAAACACATTGTTAATGGCCACATGTTGCAGATTACTGCATAATCTGTGTGTAGACATATCTGGGTTACTTGAAGACTTTTTAGCATTCTTGTGTTAGATCTTACTGTACTACTGGATTTCTTTGCTCTCTTTCATCCTTTCTTTCCTCAAATAAACACAGCCTAACTATTTTTATGCCTGATTATTTGTCTTTTTAAAGGGACAGTATGCAGAACATTTTTTATTTTGTCATCATTTACTCACCTTCATGTTGTTCCAAACTTGTATGATTTTTTCTTCTGTGGAACACAAAAGAAGATATTTTGAAGAATGTTGGTAGCCAAACAGTTCCGGTTCCCATTCACTTCCGTTGTTTGGTGAAAAACATAATACTTCTTTGATATTCTTCTTTTGAACACAATTTTGAAGACTGTTGGTAGCCAAACAGTTTCGGTTCTCATTCGCTTCCTTTATACAGTCAAAAAATATAATGGAAGTGAATGGGAACCAAATCTATTTGGTTACCAACATTCTTCAAAATTGTGTTCAAAAGAAAAATATCAAAGAAGTATTATGTTTTTCACCATACAACGGAAGTGAATGGGAACCGGAACTGTTTGGTTACCAACATTCTTATAATATCTTCTTTTGTGTTCCACAGAAGAAAGAAAATCATACAGGTTTGGAATTTACATGAGGGTGAGTAAATTACATTTTCATTTTTCCGTTCATTTTTGTCCCTTTAAAAGATTTTGACTCACCAACTCACATCCTGAATTTGACAATAATGATAATAATCACAAGGCATGTATATGTACATGTGATCATTTTTCTTTAGACTTTGTTAGACTTTCTTTGCTATGAAGCTTCTAAAGTTACACCGAAAATCCATCAAACTTGCACTATCATAAATAAACATGATTGCAAACTATATTTGCATGGAAACACAAGCTGTTCCAGTGGAACAGATGTAACTGACAAAGAGGCAGAGCCAAAAGTGATCCTGTCCAAACTCACCAGAGTGCAGAACCTCTCCGGTGGATTCCCACATGTGATATCGGGAGGCTCCACTCTAATCTGCATGTACTCCTTCATGGACCTGGGTTTGGGCTGGCAAGCGTAATATTCCCATGTTGGTCCATCGTCTGTGCTGACCAGCGACTTACAGATATCGTACTGGCCGAGAGTCAGAATAATGCACTGTAAGAGCAGGAGCGCCTGTGAGAGCATGGCACTAGATAGGTCCATGGACATGAGAGAAAGGTAAGGGGCGCCACAGCTATTAGGTGTATCAGCATGGAAATGATTTAGATTGTGAAATTTCCAATATCCATCCAAAAGGGCAAAGTCTGGTCCTCAGTGGAAAACTGTGTGTGACTTAATGTAAAACCTGTTCACACTGAGGTGTTATTTTTAGATCTGTTGTGACATCTTCAAAATTCAAAGTTCAATTTCTATACGTGGCAACTGAATTCAAGTCCAGGGATGAATGTCACTTCAGTTCAGAGACATGAAGTGAATTTAGTGGTTCATATGCAATCAGAAGGTGCCTGGCGTCAGAGTCCAGTCTAAGATTCATGTGAGATGAGATGAGCTGTGTCATTTCTGATGGGTTGCCTAGGAAATAGGGGGGAAAAAAACAGAAATAAGCAATATATATTCTACAGTTAAAAAACGGTTAATTGGTTAATTTAGCTAACATACAGTAAAACATATTTTAAAAGACAATGCAACTGCATTATAGTTTATGGAAAAAATGTATATTTAATAAGGCAATATACTTTTAAGATAATATTTTTCCAAAAATATGTTTTTTATTATAAAAATGAATGGAATGCCTTATGTTTTATATGAAATGTTATGTTTTTAAGGTTTACTGCATTATTTTTGTATCATGTGCTGCTCTGATGGTGTTTAGTCGTTGTGTGGGTATTAATGTGCTGGTCGTAGTTGCTTGAGTTATAGGTTATGATTGCTTTAAAGTCACCATGTGGTATTATATTGTACAGCTGTGTTTTTATAAGCACATTTTATAGAAACAAAGAGATATTAAAAGCCCAACTAGGTTTGTCAATTAACATTATGAAGTAAACAGACACCATTATGATTAAAACAATGTATTAACGATAACTATCAAATTCTGGAAACCACAGCTGCCGTTTTTTTTTTCAGCCCAAATGTATTATTTTTCATAACATAGCGAACTTTCAAAACAGTGCTTCGAAAACGTGCCGCTTTCTCCAACTGCACATCTTCCCTTATGCAGTAGATCATCAACTTGAACTTTTCGACGTCGCAATGGAAATCTTTTTTTTTAAATGTAAACGCTTAAGTAGGTCATCCGAACGGGACATGCTCCAAAAGAATGCGAATAAATAAATGACGTAACATTACATGCGCGCAAATATTACACAATTTTATTGTACCTATTTATGTACAAAACGGCTATTAGAAAAGCAAATAAATAACTAAAGAAATTAGCAAATAAATTGTTAGAAAACTGAGCAAACAAGTTTAGTTAAAAGCACTTCTCCAAAAACATCCGGGAAATGTGATAGACAATAATCTCCTCATCAGCTTAAGTTACTTGAATTCATCAAAGAACATCTTCTGAAATGCTGTCCGTGTTCTGAGCGCTTATAAGAGATTGAGAATGTTCAATGACCAAAATACATGAGCCTAAGTAACACACCTGAGTAACCTTGCCTCGGTTCCAGAGATCAGCACCTTTACTGTTCCCAGATGAATTTCTTCTGTATAAGCTCTCTCCCTCGGTCAGTTCCCTGCCATATCACTTGAGATGGATGAGAAACACATGCACACGTTACTCCTCTCCGCAGATCCTTCGTGCTTTCTTCGGCTGCCACGTAGTTTGTTGGAAAGCATCCTAGATTGATGCCCTACATCCAGACAGCTCCGAACCGAATCAAGTATTGCCTGAAAAACGTGCATTTAAAGTTTCGGTTCCTGTCCCACCTTCATTGATGCATCTGTCCTGTGCGCTCAAGGACAGACTTCAGAGTACTCCACCTCCCGTTCCCATCCCCGCTCCTGCTCCATTCACTCTGCCTTATCTACTCTAGCCATTGAGCAACGCAATATCTGACTTTCATTTCTCTTTTGCAAACCTCGATGAAAACACTTTTGGCCACTGCAACCTGCCTGCCTTGTCTAGTCGAACTAGTGTGGAGCAGAAGTTTATCTACGGGCTTGAAGAGCCGAACCGTCCCAGCAGCAGATGAGGCAGTCCGCCCCGCTTAAAGAGACAGATCAGAGGCTGAGGATTCCCAAATCTCCTTTCACAGCGTAGCCTACTACATGTTGTTTAACAAGCCAAACCCTTACAGAATATACCACAGTTTCGGTCAAAATGTTAGAGGTATTGCTTTAGTAAAACTTTGGTAAATTGTATACAGTAGAATAAATAAATGAGTAAGTAACACGCAATAAGATGAGAGAAAAACACTGAATTATACACACACATATATACACACACACATACAAAGAAAAACAAGTAGATAGAATAGAACAAATAGAAAGCTAGTGTTTGTTTGTTTTTTGTTTTAATAATAAAAAAAAGAAGATAAATATAACGTAGAATTAAAATAGAATATAAAGTGTTAGAGTTAGAGGGTCAAATAAAAGAGGGCCATACACTACAATAACTGTCGTAACTATGGCATTTTGGCGGAGACTATTTGTACCAAGGTGAATTTCTGTAAGGAATCGGGCTGAAAACTCAAATTAAACTTTTACTCTAAAGGTGTTTAGTGATTTCAAATGGTTTAAAGCTGTTTGTGTCGTTTAATGGAGCTGTCTGATACTTTCCGTGGCGTGTAAATTGAAGCAATGAACAGAAACAGAGTTTTTGCTTACTAGCGAGATATTAGTTTAAAACAGAAATTAAATATGAAAGATACAAACTGCAACTTTGCCAAACTTTTAGCTTCGTCATTTGAGTCATTTTCTTGTAATTAAGATTTAGCCGGGGGCTAGAGTGAGGAACGGCCGGAGGACTAGAATGAGCAGAGGCGGCGGGCTTGAGAACGGCGCGGCCGGCAGATTCGACAAAGGAGCGGCAACCACATGTGACGACCCCAGGCTGGACTCCGCTTCGTCCACGGTGAAAGCCGATC